ATTTTGGTGCAGGCTAAGCTATACAGAAATTCTCACGATGAGCCCTACCAGGCATTTGTTTATTCCGGCTCCTCCCAACCCTGGATACGTCCCTGAAAAATTGCTGTTTAGTTGTCAGTTACGTTATACCTAATATGGAAGGTCAATGTCACTTATAATGTAAAATCTGCGTAATAATACAAATGTTTTTGTTATTTTGTCAATTTGTACAGTGGCGGATCCATATTTTGTTGGCGGGGTTGGGGGGTGGGGTGGTGGTGGGAAGGCACAATAGTGAGTATACACTTACCTCAGGTTTGAAGAATAAGCACCTCTACAGTAAGTAATCTGAAATGATACTCTAGACGGTGGAAATGATTTTTCAAACCAGGGCTCCTCGACAAAATTATTGGCTTCATCCCGACAGGAGTATTAAATACCTTCTCCCCTAGACACTACTCTCCTCACGCGTGTCGCAACGGTCTCTTTCATGACCTATAGTCTATTTTATGCAGTTGGTAGGCTGCAAAGCAATGTCTGACATGCTATTGATGACGTATACAACGAAAAATGTAACAAAGACAAGTCAAACCAGTCACTTTTTTCAAAAATATATACTTTGTTTTCATTAATACATGGTAAAACAGTTTTTTTTAAATCGTTATGAAGTTCTGAGAGTTTGGAGGTAGGGGGTGCATGAAAGTTCATACAACCTCAGCCCTACCATGGTTAGGGATGAGGTGTAAACATTTTAGAATATGGATTTTTAGCTGCCAGGAAATTGTACTCTCAAATCTTAAAAATCTTACCGGTAATTTATATCAACAGTACAGTACAACACTAATTTTTCTTAGGAGGGTGCAAATGCACCGTCTGCACCCCCACCACCTGCATCCGCACTAGAAGTTACATGAGTTTAATTATACAGCCGTTTGAAGATCAGTATTTAAGAAATCAGCCTTACAAAATTTACGATTTTGGGATTTCTCAGGCAGAGACAAGCATCAAAATAAGAACAAAGCATGATGATGTATTTAGGTATAAAGTTTATTCGAAAATTTTGAAAAACGTGTTTTGGCCATTATCTCCGCAACACGATTTGCGAGGAGTGACTGGTTTGCCTTGTCTTCGCCACAATTATTAGAATTACTTAGAACAAAATATTAAGAAAATATATCCTGATAAGTCATGGACAATAATTTCTAAATGGTGAATATATGGAATTTCGGTCGGTTGAAGTAAATTAAAACAAAATTATGTTCTGAATATAGAAGATTACCCTACTTCGCGGAGGTGGGAGGTGAGGGAGCGTGTAGACAGTGTATAAAAGGGTGGTATATATAAATGGCAGTCTCTGTACATTGACAGGCAATAGACGCTGTATTGTGTATTTATTATTTAATTTTATTGTGCTGATAGGCAATTAACGAATTATTATTATTCGGATCTTCCATACAATGTTCTCAAATTTGGAGTTCTTCAATTGATTTATTACCCCTTAGTTTAGTTTAAATTTTATTTTCTTTTTTAAGAATAGCTTATACGGATAGCATAAAAAATTACTTGCCATATGCAAGGCTCAAGAATTCTCTATACACAGAAGGAGACAAAAAGAATAAAAGAAACAAAAGAATGTTTGAATTTATAAATTGTTTAGGCCAACAGCCAAGAATAATATGCCAAACAGCGAACATAATCAATATGGAAAGAATCATATCCCTTAAGAAGACAAACATTAGCACAAGATGATCTGCATATTAAGTAAGTCTCATGGGAGTGGAGTTGTTTTGGTCGTGAGAAAAAAACATGAACGGAATTGAACCAAGGACTATGTGATTGGAAGGCAAACATTTTAAAGATGAAGTTATTCAACTCCACTCCATTATTAGAACCAATTGGACTTTTAGAACAGTTAGAAGTCCTTGTTAGAACAAGAGATGTGTATTAACATTCAGGACAAGTACTAGTCAGATGGAAAACAATCAGATGAGAGAGATTTCCAAAACGCTATAGCCATTGGAAAGATGCTCTTTTAGAATTCCTTAGTCCTATTTCGTAACACGGTTTTAAATTAACTATTAAGATTTTTTTTAGTTTTGTGATAAGAATCGGACAAGTGATAATTCAAAAATAATATGCCATTGCAGTCAAGGGTGCATATTAGTTTCGAGATTGTAAAACCATGGAGGAATTAGTTTAGATTAATTACATTAATTCCTAAATGGTAATACGGTAGAATAATTATTATCTATTGCCTTATTGTAGTCAGCAACTTATCTTTTCTACTTTTCAATTTTTTACTTTTCAATTGTATATATTGTTGTGATCGCCTAACAGGCAGACACCTAATTTGAAGCTCTTAATCTTAAGTTAATTTCTTCAATTACATCTTGAAGTTTTGATAGGAATCAGTATCATACTAAAATTTAATTATCTTGGAACCTGGAGGACAGTTTTTTATTACCTATCTTCCATTCTTAGCCGTGTAACAGGCATTGAAACTTTCACCATATTTACCATGATGGATTTCAGGCTACAAACTAAAGCTGGGCTATACAGTTGAGTGAACACACATGTATGCGCTCTCTCATCACTGAGTGACTGAATGAGATTGTTTATAGGCACACACTTGAATTTGGAGCTCTTGATTCTAGGTTATAACTTCTTCACTTGCTTGAATTTTGGGTAAGAATTGCTATAATATTAAAATAAAACTACCCTGGAACCTGGAAGACACCTATTATCACCTATTTTCCTAGTTTGGCCGTGTAACACTCATTCAAAGTTTCACCATACTAGCTGTACTGGAGTAAGCTGCCATTTTGTTTTTTTGGATCTTTTGTGCTTGTAGCCCGGCTATTGTCTAGTTGTATTGAAACAATGAAGGGATCTTATGTTGCAGTAATCATCCTTCAGTTACTGTACTTTAATTGGAACATTTTTACTTTTACAATTACAATGTATACTGATGTTAGTTGTGATAAATCACATGTTAAGAAACTGGTACATCATCGATTTTTGAGAGGTAGAATCCAGTATTTTTCAAATTCAGTTGCAACAATTCAAACTGAACTTTTAATTAGTGGGGATGTTCAACTTAATCCAGGTCCTCGATGTTTAATAAACAAAATAAACAGGGATTCTGATCAACATTTAAGACCAGAGTTATGCTACAATAAAGATGAATTGTTTAATTTGAAGCCAGTGAGGCTAATTAGACTGCCGAATAATTTATGGTCAAACATTTACTCACTTGGAATAGCGAAAACATGTCATCGGGGAAAAAAAGCTGGTAGACGCAAGCGGAGAAACATTCCTGTACATATAACAGTAAGAACATCTGATATAAAAAGTTTAAAGCATGAAACTTGTCATATTCTCTCTGTTCCAAAACCAAACTTTTCAGCAATGAATATCTGTGTTGGGAATGCCCGTTCATTGAGAAAAAAATCATTGCTAACCTGTGATTATTTGATCGAGCATGATATTGACGTATTCATCATAACTGAATTTTGGCTTAGAGATGAAGATAAAACTGTTATTGGAGAATGCACTCCACCTGCATATGTGTTTTTTAGTTCTCCTCGGAAGACAGGAAGTGGAGGTGGAATTACAGTAATAGCAAAGCGTGAACTAAAGCTATGTATGAAAGGGGTTTGTAGCTTTGTAACATTTGAACATGTTCACCTTGCCAGTAAACTGTCCTCCTTACAGCTTTCTGCTGTCTACCGTCCTCCACCATCTTCAAGCAATGGATTTACTATTTCACAATTTATGAGTGAATTTGAAACCTTCTTACAGACCTGTCAGTGCTACAGGGAACATTACTCGTTGCTGGAGATTTTAACTTCCATGTGGATACCCCTGACATGGCAAATGTTAATACATTCTTAAGAGCAACAGCGGCTGCTAGCTTGAAGCAACATGTCTCTGAACCTACCCATATCCATGGACATACTCTGGATTTAGTGTTCACAAGAGATGATACGTCTGTGATTAAAAAATGTGTTGTTTCCGATAAACGCATGTCAGATCATTTTGTTGTGCATGTACAAGTTGACATGCTAGTCCCAAAACCAGAGAAAATTTATCAAGTGTCACGTGATTTTAAGTCAATAGATAAGGAAGGGTTTTTGAAGGAGTTGCAGGAACCTATTGAGACCTACGTGCACCATGGGGATGTTGAATCAGCTTTCCAGTGGTACAATAACTCACTGCGCGATCTTCTTGACAAATTTGCTCCACCATCTGTGAAGAAAAGGCAAGTACGTCTAAGGATGCCCTGGTACAACGTTGAGGTTCACCTTGCTCGTCGTGAGAAACGTCAGGCTGAGCGTAAATGGAGAAGAATTTACTTAGATACTGACTATCAACATTTCTTGGTGAAGCAACGGGAAGTTACAAGTTTAATATGTCGTACAAAGATTGCATACTTCAAGAACCTGTCTGATACTCATGAAATAAAGGATATTTATAGGGTGTTAGATACTTTGTTACACAGAAAACAACCATCTCTTCCTGTATATAATTCATTGATAACATTGTGTAACAATTTCTCCACTTATTTTTTTGATAAAATACATAGAATTCGGAGAGATTTATGTAATGACCACTTCAATGCAGTTTATGATCCATGTGAGAGAGATTTACAATGTTCTAAATCACTGTCCAGTTTTGACTTAATAAGTGAAGATGAATTGTTAAAAATTATACTTGCTTCACCTAGTAAGTCATGTTGTTTAGACCCTGTTCCTACCTGGTTTCTCAAACAAAATATTAATACAATGCTTCCTCTTGTTACAGACATTGTTAATGCTTCATTTGCTACAGGTTTGTTCCCATCTGCAGCAAGAACTGCAGTTATTAGATCGTTGTTGAAGGAATACAATCTTGATAAAAATTGTCTTAGTAATTACAGGCCTGTTTCTAATCTTTGTTTTCTAGGAAAACTGATTGAAAAAGTTGTTCGTAGTCAACTCACAAATCATATGACCGAAAATAAGTTATGGGATGTTCATCAATCCGCCTATCGACCATATCATAGCACTGAAAGTGCTTTAATTAAGGTGAAGAATGATATCATGCTTTTATTAGACAAGGGTCATATTGTTCTATTGTTATCATTAGATTTATTTATCATCAGCATTTGATACGATAGATAGGGAAATCTTGATGAAACGATTGTCCACGAGGTTACGAGTTCGAGATGTAGCATTAAAATGGTTTCGTTCATACCTTGAAACTTGGAAAACTTGTGTAGAAAAATAAATGGCACAAAATCAGAGATAGTTAGTAATACAGTAGGGCTACCACAGGGATCGGTATTTGGGCCTATAAGTTACACTATTTACACTTTGCCAGTTGCAGATATTGCCAGATTCTATGGTGTCTCGTATCATGCATTTGCTGATGATACACAGCTTTATTTATCATTTCATCATAGGAAAGCAGATGATCTGAATATGGTACTGCAAACACTGTCTTAAAGATGATAAAACGGAATAATCTACAGAAGTTGGGCAGTATCGTTCTTAATATTGGGTCAACTGAAATATCACCGTCCACATCTATAAACAATCTTAGTGTTTATCTTGATTGTAATATGTCAATGTCAAATCACATTGAAAATATTTGTAAATCCTGTCTCTTATACACATCTAGATGTGTATAAGAGACAGTCATGAACCTTGCTCTACCGGATAATGTTACAAAACCTGCACAAAACGACAATACCACAAAAATATCAATCTTAACTATTGATGGGATGTGTATCCTCAATATGGTAAAGCACCAATATACTTCAGTAGTTGTTTAAAAGTTCATCATACATTACGACCAGATCTTCGCTCTGAATCAGACCCTTTTCGCCTTTCATGCCCCTTAGTTCATAGCAGATCAGGTGATCGTTCCTTTAGTGTAACAGCGGCCATAGAATGGAATAAACTCCCTACAGTTATTAAAACAACAAATAATGTTGAATCTTTTAAAAAACTACTGAAAACATTATCTTTTTTCAAAATTAACTTGAGCTTATTGCTTCAAATCATCATCCAACTCTGTAAACGCTATGATATAGTTTTCTATGAATAGCGTATCTAAATACTAATAATACTACAACTACTATATAGAATAATTTCTGAAATTTTATTTAAAAAATTATTATAAAATATAATTTATTTAAAAAATGTAATTCTCCTTGCTTTTCATTGCTTTTTTTTCAGTTAAGCGGTTTACAGAGAATTAACTTTGTGTCGGTCTTTGGTTCATTATTCTCTCTTGGCATGCCGCTAACCTGTTTGTTTTTTGGGGGTTTTTTGTACTTTATTGTTTGTCATTTTACTGTGTTTGAAATGTGTAAATAAGTAAATAAAATGAATAAATAGGAGTGAGACAGTCCCCTTGAGATACTCCAATGTTTGTGTGAATGATGTTGCCTCTTCATATCCAATTCTAACTCTCAGCTTCACGTCGGATATGAGCATTGTAATCATGTGCACCTCATCTGGTGGAATTGTCTTCGATAAAACATTATCGTTGACAACGACCATCGTTACTTCATGAAATACCAACTACTAACAAAGGAGACCAAATTATATTTATATTTATTGGATGATTGTTGTTTTTACCTACTGTGTAGATTCATGGTTGTTGATAAGAGTCCCGCGGGACAAATTTGACCCGCAAAGTAATTTAATTGTCCCCGTAAGGAATAAACAAATAATAATAATAAAACTTCAATACAGTAAAGATTAAAATTCAACCACTGGGTAATACACAAGGATGGTTTTAAAAATAGCAAGATTTTATAGGTCATAAATAGAATAAATAGCGCCAAAAATATGTCACTGGGTGCTTTCCGTGGTCCTACTTGTTATTGTGTGCAGCTCAGGAGGTGTAAAAACGTTATCATACATGATCAATTTGTGATTTTTATCGTCAAAAAAAAAACATTTGTAGGCCTAATTAATTTCACATGGTTATAAAAAGCTAGTGAACGAGACAATATGCTTACAAAAATAGATTCGATTGTCCTACTAAGGACTCTCTGCGCCCTCAACTTCTGTCTCTTGACAATCATTTTGATATATAATTACATATTATTCTAACTGGACTCTAGGCATAGGCCTATGTATATATCGTGTCTGTATTTAACATTTTCAATCTTTGTCAATTTAAAGTCGAATGTATGTCCTGGTCTGGTCCCCGACCCTTTATGTTCACTTGGATAGGATTATCTTTGTAAGACTTGACTTCTACGAATGGATACCTTGTTTGAAGCAAGAAACCAATTTGTCTTTATCCAGTACCGCTCGTTTATTTTATTTGTGTGGGAAACTTTCAAACATAACTCTCACCACTATATATTTCCATTATATTGTCAGAGGTCAACGATCTTTTGACTTTTAGATACGTCAATTTCTGCACACGTTTTCAATTTGAATGGCTGAAAAATCTACAGGCTACATGTTGATACCAATATCATGCAAATCCATCCAATAAATCATGAGTTATGAACCTAAATGCTAACCACTACCCCAAACATCGCCATTGACTACAAGAGTAATCAACAATGACCGTAGTACATTTACTCAATTTATACATTTTCTTGTTAATATCATTTCTTTATATTCCATATTATGCTAATTAGTAATAGAAAATACTGCTTGCTATAAAATAATACTCATGACTGTTGATTTGTAAACGCTTGTGAGTGCATTGGGAATAAATTTATAATTTTTTGGAGGTCGATGACCTCTTGACCTCTAGTTGCGTAAATTTCTGCCTGTTTCGAAACTGTTTCAATTTGAATGGCTAATCAATCTATAGGCTAAATGTTGATACCAACATCATACACATCCATTAAATAAATCAAGAGTTATGAGCAACAGCGGCGGAACGTTTTTGGTGGTGAGTGGGGAGGGGGGATTTTCATAAGGTCCAGTATGCGAGCGAAGCCAGCATCTAGGTTGGGGCCAGGAGGCCGCCAAGGGCCAAATCCCCCTGAAAGGTACGGATATTTTACGAAGTTTGGTGAATTTTATAAGTTATTTTATAGGCATGAAGGTACTGTAATATGACTTCATATTTCTTGCAATTTCCAGTGGCGGATCAAGGAATTCGAAATAGAAGGGCCCAGGGAGTGTACTTCCACAGATAGAAGATCTATACTAACGGTTGTCTCTTATACACATCT